ACCACCTGACCCCCCCCACCCCCCCCAGCTGACCATCTCCACCCCCACCAGTTGACCATCTCAATCCACACCAGTTGACCATCTCCACCCCCACCAGTTGACCAGCTCCACCCACACCAGTTTACCACCTATCCACACCAGTTGACCACCTCCACCCACACCAGCCACAAGTTGACCATCTCCCCCACCAGTTGACTTTCTCCACCCCCACCAGTTGACCACCTTTCCACACCACTTGACCATCTCCCACCCCAGTTGACCATCTCCACCCCCACCAGTTGACCACCTATCCACACCACTTGACCATCTCCCCCACCAGTTGACCATCTCCATCCCCACAAGTTGACCATCTCCCCCACCAGTTGACTTTCTCCACCCCCACCAGTTGACCACCTTTCCACACCACTTGACCATCTCCCACCCCAGTTGACCATCTCCACCCCCACCAGTTGACCACCTATCCACACCACTTGACCATCTCCCCCACCAGTTGACCATCTCCATCCCCACAAGTTGACCATCTCCCCCACCAGTTGACTTTCTCCACCCCCACCAGTTGACCACCTTTCCACACCACTTGACCATCTCCCACCCCAGTTGACCATCTCCACCCCCACCAGTTGACCACCTTTCCACACCACTTGACCATCTCCCACCCCAGTTGACCATCTCCACCCCCACCAGTTGACCACCTTTCCACACCACTTGACCATCTCCCACCCCAGTTGACCATCTCCACCCCCACCAGTTGACCACCTTTCCACACCACTTGACCATCTCCCACCCCAGTTGACCATCTCCACCCCCACCAGTTGACCACCTTTCCACACCACTTGACCATCTCCCACCCCAGTTGACCATCTCCACCCCCACCAGCTGACCATCTCCAACACCAGTTGACCATCTCCAACACCAGCTGACCCCCCCCTCACCTTGTTGGGCTTCACTGCCCTCTGCAGGTTCTCGATCCACTTGTCCCTCTCGGCCGCCGAGCGGCAGGCGAAGCACTTGGTGCCCGAGGCCGTGGTCACCTGGGGGGGGAGACCCCAAAATGTCCTCAGGGTGGGC